TCTCTCTCTCTCTCTCTCTCTCTCTCTCTCTCTCTCTCTCTCTCTCTCTCTCTCTCTCTCTCTCTCTCTCTCTCTCTCTCTCTCATGCGCACGCGGCGACATTTGCATCTGACAGCTTCTTAGTCCATACTCACACTGGGATTTCTTTTCAATGTATCTTTCCGTATCTTCCAATGCTCTTGCGGAAGATTCCTTCTCATTTTGCACATTGGCAGGCTGCTCAGTTGATGCACACATGAAACCGTTGAATTGCAGACGTAGTTCGTATCCAGCGGCGACCACAATAAAATAGTTCTGATTTACAAATGCGAGGATCAGGGTCCTCAGTAGACCTATGGGCCCTGTTTACAGCATTGCCCGCCCTAAGTGAACGCGGAGGTGCCCGCCCTAAGTGAAGGCGGGCCTGACATATTGCAAGAGGCCCTCGACTGTCAATTTCATATTTGGGGTCCAGGCAGCTGCAACGCGCCAGTTGGTTGAGAGAAACTCAGGCCGGGCAACAAAGACATTTCCACGGCCTTCCGGACTTTTCCAAAGAATGCAGGCCCTGAGCGTGATTCGCAGCCTCATACAGAGACAGTTGGGCGCCCAACCGAACGAGGCCCAGCAGCCTAGTAGCTGCTGTACACAGGCAGCCTCCTGGGGCCTTCCGGAAGCTTTTGGGCCCAGGCCAGTGCAGCCAGGCTGCGCGAGCAGGCCAGCTCTTTCCATAAAGGAAAGAGCTCTCCCCCTAGCAGCCTCATTCAGGCACTCGCATGCTAGCGGCAGCGCTGCTGGAGCAAGAGCTCGCGGCTGCTGGCTGGTGCTGAGAGGCGAGGTGCAGCACGTGCGGTCGTGCAGGGAAGAAGGGCGCTGCTGAGGGCAGCGCCATAGCCCAGCCACCGTAGCTGGTGGGCTTGGTCTACTGTGAGGCGCAGGGGTGGTCTTCGGGTGTAAGAGAGCACAGACGTGGGGGTAAAGTCAGGGGATAGGTGAAGGATGATGATGATGATGATCTGAGGGCACTTACCTTGTATTGGCGATGGTCTGCATGGGCGACATCTTCAAGTACTTCGGGTTGCTGCTGATGTCAACAGTTGCATTGTCAATTAGTAGGCTGTAGTAGCTGTGTTAGGAGTAGGCTGGGCGCTGAGCGCTAAGTAGGAGAGTGAAGGGACTGGACTCTTGTGTTGACGAGGAGAGAGTATGCTCTCTATGACATTGGTTTTCAGTACGATGAACCTCCATTGGTGTATTATTGGTGCAATGCTGCTCTCTGGACACGGTGTGACTATCTGGCTTTCAATGTGATGGTGTAATCTGGAATTGTCATCTCGCTGTTGCTCATTTTCCTTGCACAAAGGATCCGACGGCGTGCAGATGCCTTGGCCGATGCCCCCTGGAATGTTGTGCGTCCGTCATGTTCTAAAACAAACACCCTCAATGTCGCCTGGGCCAGATAATGGTCGTGCCTGGGGTGGGGCTGGCGCTGGGCCGCGGCGGGTTCACTTGTATATATAGCAAATGGTTCTTTGGTTTTGCTTGTCACGCCCGCAATTAGTGAACGCTTGCCACTGTCTCACCAAACCCTCACTTTCATCCCCACTATTTCCCTGAATGAGCGCAATTATTATATCTTGGCAAATGGTCCTCGGCACTTCCCCCCAATGTTGACTGCGCTTTTCAAGAAATAATAGGTGTCCAGCTGGACTCGGAGCACAATAAAACAGAAGTTGGTTTCCGCTTCCATCAATTTGAGGTCTTTAAGCTCTTGACGAGGCATCCACGGTGTAAATGTTGTAAGGCACTCTGATGTGCCCAGCTTCAATTTGGCGTCTCTCTTCCTGATTAGTCATCCGCTACCTCCGCCTCTTTTGCTACGTACCAGATAATGGTTGGTCCCTCAAACAGGATTCAGCCTTTCTTTGTGTCCGGATTAAAGATCGTTTGCGTCAGCCATCCATCCTCGTACACCCGCTGTGCTATAATCGAACAGAGACTGAGCAGCGTGATCCCCTATGTTGTTATCGAGCAGGGGACGAGCAGGGGATGAGCACGGTGGTCCCCTGTGTTTGAACTCGATCAGGGACTGAGAAGAGCGGTTCCCTGTGCAGAGTGGTAACCGACGCAGAGTCTTGCAAACGAACAGGGGCTAGCCAATACAGCCCCCTGTGCTGTATTAAGCGGCTCCGGTTTCCATGCAGTAATTGGTATGCAATCTTCAACAGCTTGAGGTCTTGCGCAGTAAACGAGGTGCAGTTCTGAAAGAATTTAGACCTGGTGCAATGACCGTTGCACAGGTTTCAAGCAGTTCGGATTTTTGTACGAGGATACAGACCTGGGGCAATGACCTGGTGCAATTCTGAAAGAATCCAGACCTGGGGCAATGAACTGATGCAGTTCTGAAAGAATTCAGACCTGGTGCAATGACCTGGTGCAGTTCTGCAAGAATTCAGACCTGGTGCAATGACCTGGTGCAGTTCTGAACGAATCTAAGCATTTGGTACAATCAGACCCCGTACAGCATTCGGGGCACTATTTTGAACAAGGCCACATCCGAGCAGATTGTACCAGACCATACCAGACTAGCAGATCTGAATCAGGACCTTTGAGCAGTACTCGGTGGAAACTCGGCTAACAAACGGTTAGGCCTTTGGCAGCAAGCAGCAAACCAGCACACACTGTGTGTTATAATCGAACGGGTGTCAGGACACGGCCGACACTCTGTATTACAATCGAACATACATCTACACGCTGATACTCCATGCATTAATCGGGCAGAGCAGGGACAAAACAGAGTATTCCGCAACACACTTTGCAAAAGAACAGGTTTAGACCTAATGAGATTACCAAGCAACCAGCAGGTTTGTAAAATCTCAGATAATAGCAGATTCAAGGAGAGCTTGGAAAACAGCAAGACGTGTGATATCTCCGAGAAGGTTGAGCTCGATGAGACTTCAGAAAACAGTGCGTTCAACGAAAACTCAGAAAATGGTAAAAGTTCAGTTAGATCTCAGTTCAGTTTCAGTCCACATTTTCAATAAGATCTGAGAGCAGTTTTAGTGCAGGCTTTGGTATAACCTCAATACACATTTACACAATTTTTCAGTGAGGATTTCTGAACCATCTCAGTACAGTTTCCTGCAGTTTCAGTGAGATTTTCCTACCGTCTTCACCCGAATAGAACGCCCGGTAATTATTGCCGTATCTGGACTGAAAGTTGCATCAATACAGTTCTTCTTGTGATTCTCGCTGCAGATTTCAATGGTGTTTTCATGGCAACTTAGTATAATTTAGAATTAAGATTTAAGAGCATCTGTCCTTCGGGACATCCGTTAAAATTGGAACCATACAGAGAAGATTAGCATGGCCCCTGCGCATAGATGACACGCATAAATCGAGAAATGGTCCAATTTTTTTTTTACTTTAAAGAAAAAAATAATAATAATAAAAAAAAAAAAAAAAAAAAAAAAAAATGAAGAGGCTAAGAGCATCTTTCAGAGTAATGTGCACTTCAGTGTAAAATTAGACTTCAATGGAGTTTTCAACTTTTCAGTAAAACTCTCAGCATAGTTGAAGTGCACTTCCCACTGCAAGACTCAGTATAAATCTCAGACACGGTTTTCACTGCACAATTTCAGTGACTCAGGATGTGGTTCTCATTGCCAAGTTCGATAAATTTCATTTGTAATGACCCGCCAAAAACACAGACTGAGAACACTGCTGATTTCTGGGATATGCTGCTGGAATGAATGCCTTGCTGAAATTCCCGCATTCTACTGTGATTTCCATGGCTGTGTGTGTGTGCGTGCCTGCTGGTTTGCATGCCTGTCTGAGTGCTTGTCGGTTGAGTGTGTGTGTGACCCGCAAGGGTACTTGTTGGTTGAAAGGCCCCGCAGGGCCGGTACTTACCTGCGGCCGTGACTGTGAAGGGTTGCAGGGGGGAAAACACTCGAGCAGCGGGGGGTAGGCCCGCAGCACTTAGAGCAGAGGGGAAAAACACTCAAGTAGCAGGTAGGACGGTACCACTGAAGTAGTGGTAGAAGTGTCGGGTACTGGAGGCCGAGCAGAAGAAGACAAAAAGTTGGCATTTTTAGAGGCCCAGTAGCGGTAGGCTAGAGGTAGGCCGGTACCAGTCCAAGTAGCCCGGGTCTAGGGCCTGTCC